GGTCTGATGGAGAATAATAATGATTTTCAAAAGATGGATAAAAAAGAAACTGTTTCTAAAAAAATTTGTTGCAACAGCAAGATTCCTGGGCATCTCTCATCTGCAACTGCCGTTGAACCCAAAAAAAATGCAAGGAACAGGTCTAATAGGTTAAATGGACCGTTCACAAGATGTCACATTGCTGAGGAAGGGAGCAAAGCCCAATCCAGTTAGTTGCTTCTCCCTTTTCTTGTATTCTTTCAAGTTTCAAGTGTGTATTATATGAGAACATTGTACAGTTGGTTTTTATTTATGTCTTTGTCATAAATTTTCTGCAGGATCACATGCAGAAATCGGTCAGGTAATGGCATCCCATAAGTATGAAGGTGGCCAGTTGAAATTTGCTGGAAATTTCAAGGAGTCCAGGATTCCAGTTTCCACCAGAATTCAGAATTGCCAATTGGGTAAGTGTGTCTTCATGGCTGCTTTTATATTCCTGCATTCTCATTCAACCAAAATGAACTGTATTTTGCTGAACAGGGGGCAGACTGAATATTGTTAAAAAAGAGCCAATAGAGATGACTCCAGAATTCTGCACTGATGGAGAGAAAATTCAAGACATATACGGTTCTAACTTTGCTTCTTTAACTTCATCTTGTTCATAGAGATTTGTCTCCTCATCTTTATGTTCTGATTCTGTTGTGTTCTGTCCAAATGTGTAATTACATGCAACGGAATGTAGGGAAGTTGCCACAGGTCGTCAAGGTGGAGAATGGCCAGAGTTCTGATGTCATGGTAAAAGAAAATCCAATTCAACTGGTGAAAAGTGAAACCCTGGATTTAGTTCCTATTTCTTCATCACCTGCAACAAGTATCTCTTGTGAAATAATAGCATCTGCCAATCAACCTTATCTTGTATGTTATGTACTTAACCATTTAGAGTTTAAATGATTTGAATCATTCATTTGGATTGCTGTTACTTATTTTCAAATTAATCCAAATTGTTCTGCATTGAATCATAATAAGTATATATCTTTCTTTTTTCACCCTTTGTCGAGCGCACTTTATACAAGTTGGACATTCAATCTGTATCTTTAAACAATGTATTGTTTCATCATTCATGCAGGAGTTGCCGACACGCTTGCCAACATCTTTAACGCAAGGAATTAAAAAGGAAGGGAAGGTGGTGGTTCTCCAGGATCCAGCTGGGAGAATGTGGCCAGTTCTCTACCAAGAAATATGTGAGTTTAAAATTCTGTCAAGTGGCTGGGAAAATTTTAGCAAGGCAAATAATATTAAACCGGGAGATAAGTGTGTTTTTGAACTTGAAAGCAAGCATGAGAGCATATATGGAGTCAACATTGTTAGAAAGTAAAATGAGCTCTGCAATTTCAAGTGGATGTTTTAAATCACACATCTGTTTTTTGTGTATGTATAGATGTGAAAATTGTAAGATCAGTATCCTCAGGAGGTATTTTTTGTAGTAGTACTTGACCAAGCTATATAGCACTTTCCATGTAAATATATGTTTTCAGGTTTGACAGATACCATATTAAGACACAATGTCTTACTAGTAAGCTATTCTATATGTAATATGTTATTAATTGGCATCAAATGCTTTTAGTATTAATTAATGTAACATTTCAACTTTAAAGGTTATCGAATAAGCAAATAAAAACATTTTTTCTCAAAAAATAATAATAATGTTTTAATAATTACTTTCATTTTATATCGAATTTTGAGTGTATAGACATATATAACTAATTTGATAATCATATTTTCCGAAAATGTAGAAGATTTATTTAAAGTATAAATCTAACAGTAAAATTTGGTGACTTACCAATTATACTATTAATAAAACAACAAAAGATATTTCCTAATATATAATGTTAGACTATGCTAGACTCGGATGGTCTAGATCAAGTTTAGCATTTATCTGTATGGTTTAACACTCTAATTAAAGCAAGTTAGATCATATTAGATAATGCTAGACTTAACTATATATGTCTTTGTTATTTTTATTAAGAGCAATTAAGTTAAGTCATGTAATTTTACTATTAAATCTGTCATTTAAACAAAACCTTAATATTTTAAAATTAAAATTATTAAAGATGGTTATACATAAGAATATTTCTTGAATTTTATATCAATATTTTAAAATTGAATAATGTAATACTTCTATACGTATGATTGACAAACAAATAGACATAAAATATACTAAGTGATACATTATCGTCATGTACAATTACACATTGTTCGAAATAAAAGATAGTGTAACTACTAGATAGGATGAACGCATGGTTAATGATAGCCAGCTTGGAATGAGTTAGAAAAATGGTAATGGAGTGATAAGAAACGATTTTTAAAGTGATTTGATAAGTATGAATCAAGCCTACGTCCACTATTATATTATTGTTTTGTATTTGCTTTATATATAAGGTGATTACAAGGTGGAAACACGTAATAACGAGCTAAACCTCTCTCTAAGTGGTTTCATGTACTTGTATGAATTGTCCTTCAAAATGAAGGTAGATTTTCCCTTTTATACACACTATTTGACAGTGGTTAGGAGTGTTGTTACCGCCTATGGGATGGATTACACGCATAATCCTCGTAATCTGGATCTAAATCAACTTCACCCATGCTTAAGTTTGAACATTCATGTTTAATACTGATGAGTTTGTTGGAGAAGTCATTTATTGTGAAAGCGACACATGGGATCAATCTATTGGATCTCGATACGATGTATGGACAGATGTCACAAATCTGGCAGTTGAAAAAAATGCCAACACATACTATTGTAATTTATGGTAAGCGATTATTTCATTTAAATGAAATGACTTAATATTATATATATATATATATATTAAAAATGGTGGGTCTTGCTAAACAAGGCCCAGAAAAATGGGCCTAGCCAACATACAATTCCCGAGTCCTGCATGAAGCCCTAATCTTGGAGTACTAAAAGTTAGAGTAAACGGTTTTCCCACCCAAGGTTTGCCTTGATAACAATTTCCCACTCAAAAAGTTTCAAAATATCAGTTTTCCACCGAAAGTCTGTATTCCGTTAATACCTAAAATACACTTCACTTTCTTAGCCGACATTCGGCAAGTTACCTAGAGTCAAGGTAAGAGTGATTTTGTATAGTAGAGACTAGTGGGTAGAATGGTGGTGAGTGGTGACCGATCAGTTAAGAATAGAAAATTTTAACTTTACGGTGGCCGAAAATCGGCGAGAAATTAGATGTCAGAGTAAAAGGGATTTTGTAGAGAGAAGACCAGACGTTCGAATGGTGGTGATTGAGAGAATTTTTACCATCGAAATTAGCTTTGGGTAGTAATGGAATATTAACTTTGGATGGGAAAGTGGCATTTTAAAACTTTTTGGGTGGGTAAGTGATTGAGGCAAACCTTGGGTGGGAAAAAGTCATATACTCTAAGAATAATCCCCCAACCACAAAATCATATATTATTTTTAAGCGAGTGGACCACCTACTCGTAACTGCTCAAGTGCTCAACTGGAGCCATTGAANAACGATTTTTAAAGTGATTTGATAAGTATGAATCAAGCCTACGTCCACTATTATATTATTGTTTTGTATTTGCTTTATATATAAGGTGATTACAAGGTGGAAACACGTAATAACGAGCTAAACCTCTCTCTAAGTGGTTTCATGTACTTGTATGAATTGTCCTTCAAAATGAAGGTAGATTTTCCCTTTTATACACACTATTTGACAGTGGTTAGGAGTGTTGTTACCGCCTATGGGATGGATTACACGCATAATCCTCGTAATCTGGATCTAAATCAACTTCACCCATGCTTAAGTTTGAACATTCATGTTTAATACTGATGAGTTTGTTGGAGAAGTCATTTATTGTGAAAGCGACACATGGGATCAATCTATTGGATCTCGATACGATGTATGGACAGATGTCACAAATCTGGCAGTTGAAAAAAATGCCAACACATACTATTGTAATTTATGATAAGGGATTATTTCATTTAAATGAAATGACTTAATATTATATATATATATATATATTAAAAATGGTGGGTCTTGCTAAACAAGGCCCAGAAAAATGGGCCTAGTCAACATACAATTCCGGAGTCCTGCATGCAGCCCTAATCTTGGAGTACTAAAAGTTAGAGTAAACGGTTTTCCCACCCAAGGTTTGCCTTGATAACAATTTCCCACTCAAAAAGTTTCAAAATATCAGTTTTCCACCGAAAGTCTGTATTCCGTTAATACCTAAAATACACTTCACTTTCTTAGCCGACATTCGGCAAGTTACCTAGAGTCAAGGTAAGAGTGATTTTGTATAGTAGAGACTAGTGGGTAGAATGGTGGTGAGTGGTGACCGATCAGTTAAGAATAGAAAATTTTAACTTTACGGTGGCCGAAAATCGGCGAGAAATTAGATGTCAGAGTAAAAGGGATTTTGTAGAGAGAAGACCAGACGTTCGAATGGTGGTGATTGAGAGAATTTTTACCATCGAAATTAGCTTTGGGTAGTAATGGAATATTAACTTTGGATGGGAAAGTGGCATTTTAAAACTTTTTGGGTGGGTAAGTGATTGAGGCAAACCTTGGGTGGGAAAAAGTCATATACTCTAAGAATAATCCCCCAACCACAAAATCATATATTATTTTTAAGCGAGTGGACCACCTACTCGTAACTGCTCAAGTGCTCAACTGGAGCCATTGAAATAAGTCAAAAAGGGCACTTTATAAAATTCAAATTTATCTGTTGGGTGAATAATTAATTAGCAGAATAAAAGTAAACCCAAAAAATAAAAAAAAATATTTCAACGTTCAAAACAAACTCATTTGAAGACCTATTCATTCATTCAATCTCTCTCCTTTTTAAGTGTTTAAGAGAGGAGAGACTGTTACTTCAAACAATTCAAAACCATTTTCAAGTCTCTTGTTTTGTTTTGTTCAACAAACAAGAAACTTTCTCTTTTGCTTCATATAAAAGATTACCTCGTTTATTGGCTCTTGAGTTGCATTTCTTCTCTTTCTTTTCAAAAATATTAGCATCAACAAGTTATCGAATCCCAGTTTCAAGTTAAAGAAATGATGGATTATCATGATCTTGGTGCTAGGTCCTCCTATGACTATGAGGACTCCCTTAAGCTTCTTGAGGCTGATATTCAGCATGCCAATGCGTTGTGAGTCTCTTCTTGGCTTTCTGTACTTTTGTTGTTTATGTTCTGATGCTTAATTTTGATTGAAATTTTTTATGTTTATTTTTTTTTCGAAAATTTTTAATGTTGATCATGCATTTTGATGGTTTTTCTTTTGTTCTGCTTATACTCTGAGAACCGTTTAAGTATGTAATTGATTTGAAATAAATGCTTAAAGTAACTATTTTTCTGTTTTACTCACTTATGCTTAGGATGAATTAATCCTCTTTCTTTCTAAAAAAACTAACGAAGGATCAAGAACTCATGAATTTCAGAATGCTTTTGAAGAAAGTGATATGGGTATTGTAAATTTTCAAATTTGAAGGTTTGGGTTTAACATCATCAGTTCACAGACATTTTGTACTATCATTTTAGGAACCCAGCTGTTTTTGACCTGTTATCATTACTGTCATTCAACATTCTCTTCTGAGTTTCCATTACATATTCAATGTTTTTTTATTTTTTAGTTATCATCCTAACTGAACCATTTCTTGTAATATCTGCATTGTTTGCCTGTTGAACTCTTTGTTTTGTGTTTACAAAAGTTTGCACGGAAATTATTTTATGTTTTCAGGGCAGCTTCTATCCCAAGATGTAAGGGTGGTTCTTGTCTTCAGATGAAACTGGTGAATAATCACTTTGCACCTATTTTCTTGTTTCTGCTCCAATGGATAGATTGCTCATGTACATGTCTACTTTCAAGTTACTTCAACCTTTTCCACATTGTTGTATATAAGGTAGGATTCCTGCTTGCCCAGTCCCATTTTATTTTCACTTCTTCATTTCAATTTGAATGAATTCAAAAGTATTGAAAATTGGAATACTTTTTTGGTTAGGTATGCCCGGATGAGAGGCCAAGTATTTCCTCAATAGGAAGAAAAGCATCCATTAGAGAGTTTTACAGTATGTAACTATCTCCTATATATATCTATTTTTCTTCCAAGAAACGTCTAAATCAACTTTGGCTTACTGCATGGTGTTATGTATTCATTTAAAGCAATTTTAGAGCTATATATGAACCCAATCATGGATAGAACAATATTCTGCAATGTTATTTGGATATAGTTCCTGCACTTGAATACAGTATGTGTTTGTTATAACTGAGGAAAAATTTCAGGTGTTATATTACCATTTCTTCAGCGTCTGTATAGTGATTCATCAAAGCTGGATATAACTCAAGAAGAAGGTCATGGATTAGAGCTGATTTCCAGGAAGAGATTAGAGGATAAATGGAAACTTTCAGATATGGACTTGGAGAGAGAAGATGAATGTGGAATCTGCTTAGATCCCTGCACCAAAGTGGTCTTGCCAAGCTGCTGCCATGCTATGTGTATCAACTGCTATCGTGACTGGTATATAAGGCCTCATTCCTTCATATTGGACTTCCAGCTTGGTTTAATGTTAATACAAAATGGAGGAAGAAAACTTCATTCTTAAAATTTAGAATTGTTTATTTCCTCTCTATGTGTTGCAGGAACACAAGATCGGAATCTTGCCCATTTTGCAGGGGAAGTCTTAAGAGAGTGGATTCAGGGGATTTATGGGTTCTCACTTGCAACAATGATGTGATCGATACTCAAACTGTGTTGAAGGAGGACCTCCTGCGCTTCTATCTCTATATAAATAACCTTCCAAAGGATATTCCAGATGCTCTTTTTTTCATGTATTATGAGTACTTAATCTGATCTCAACGATGGCATGAATGATGCGTAGAGACCATTGGATTTACATAAAAGTCAGGTGACTCTTCACACTGGAAATTTCATTCCCACTTGAAATTGTATAAAAAGATGTATATTCTCCTAATTGTAAGAGAATCAATAAGAAATAATAAGTTGGTCACTTTTTCCAGCATGAAAATTTCTATTTATCGATTTTGCACAAGGAAAACACCGAAGCATAAGGTTGAGTCTGTGTGATGAAATTTCTTGAATCCTAGATAGAAGCTTACTAGCTTTGCGGGACAAATTCTGCTGGCTTTTTTAATTTGTTGAAGGGGTGATGGTCAAATAGTACTTGATCAAACAACTGAAGACATGCTTTCAATTAACCTACTAAATATTCCACTTCTTGCTCTTTGCATGCTTCAATTTACTGAAGTAGTAGTCCTTTTATGGAAAGCAATCGCGGCATTTTTGAGCGTGTAAGTTGAGTAAAATGCCATAATGATCTATATTCAGACTTAACAAAGCTCTTCAGACTGACAACAGATTTATTTTAACGGGGACATTGTTTCTTCTCTGGTTCTTCAATGATCACCTGATCCCGGCATTGGTGATCAATATTTAAGAATGAAATCATCTTTAAAAAATGCTTTTATGATAGCGTATAAATGCAAGTTCGATCTTCAAACATGTTCCGAAACATGGATTGGACATAGCCAAACTAGAAACAGAATACATGAATTAGATATCAAACAGAGTTCTAAGATTGAATACATCTTTTGAGTTCCATTTCTTCACAATTATTTTCAACTAAGAGTTCAACTGTGCATCTGATCACAAAGACAAGCAGCACAAATATTGCTTAAGCTTTTTTTATGGCAAGATAAAAGGTTCATCCCTGGCGCTGTTTGTTGCCCAGTAAATAGTTGAACGAAGGGTGACTGTATGTTCCATTGAGAAACATGTCACTCATCACCTTATACATAGCTTCAGTGAGGTGAACTCCATCCCAATTAACATACTGAGAAGGGTTCGGGCAAACAGTTGCAGAAGGTGTACCACAAGCAGCGGACACGTCAAAGTTGTAGGGAGGTTCACCTGATCCACAGCATGCCTTGAAAGGCTCCTTGAAGCCATACTTTTCTGGACTTTTCATGACGGTGTGGAAGGCATTCCAGTAATCAGCGTACACAATGACAGCTTGCGGAAACTTCTGGCGGAGTTGCTGCAACTTGGCTTGTAGAGCAGCATTATGTGTATAACTTTGGTTGTTTACACTCTTTACACATCCTATATCGTCCCTATCATCCTGAGGAGCCAAATACATGGCCAGTGGCAAGCACCCTGTCGTCGGCAGTGCTTGAACAACAACATATTTTGCACCCTTCTTCAGCAATGCCTGCATATTAGTTCACAATCAACTGAGCTTTAGGTCTCTGTATATAAACTAAAACAGTATTAACATTAATGAATAATTCATTCTAATTACCTGCAGAAACTCAGTGAAGCTATCCATAGCGAGTTTGCGAATGGTGTCACCTGATACAGAAGATCCAAGGGTATACGCATAATCATTGACACCAATTTCACCTACCCAGAACAAAGCATCAGCAAGAGCTGCCTTGCATTCGGGCCCTGACTGATTTGACTTTTTACACCCTTGACTCTCCAAGAATTTGTTGAACCAAAGGAGCTGAGTTTGGATAGACTCAGGAGTAATGTCAAGAGTGAGGTTGTTCTTCACAAAGAAAGAATGATTTATTGCAGTGGCGCCAGCAACGGCAAAGTTGACACCATGAGATGCATTGATTTTGTTGTGGATATAAGGTGGCAAGAATGGTAAAGACAGTGATTCAGCTACAAAGTCAATCACTAGCCGTCCATCGGAGTATCGGTTGGTGGGGCGGTGAAAGTAGGTGATGCCATATGGAGGATTGGAGACATGGGCAAAACCGGTAGGTCCAGTTGCACTTCGGGTGTTGCCTGTGTCGGTGAATGAGTCACCGAAGGCATAGATCTTTTTGAAGGGACGTGGATTCAGTGCGTTAGGAATAGCAGTAGACACAGAAAAGAATATAAAGATGGTGATGATGAAGGCAGAACAAGGTTTTAAGGAGTGAGCCATTGTTCCAGTGCTCCAAAGCTCCAAGCCTAGCGACTAATTGCTCTCTGAATGTCCCTTGTGTGGCTTTTATATTTCTAATTTGAAAGGAAGGGGAGGATATGGAACTATAAGACTAGCTCAATTGGCAGTTGGGGATACAGGTTGAATACAAATTTGCATTTATTGCAGTTTAAAAGTTCATGTGTGAGTTTAATTCACTAAAAGTGAGTGTCTATGGGTGACACTTTTTTTTAACCTGTAACCGAGGCGTAGTCAATTAATCCTCAAATCTATTTAACATTCTATAAAACTAAAAGGCCAGATAAATTACAATGTTATTATAATGGATAGTTTTAAAGTTGAATTCAAGATCTAAAAAAAGAGAACAAATATTCTTGATCGTCAGACTAACCTCTTGGAGTTGTGACACATTTATTTCCTCCGGAAAAAAAAAAAAGAAAAAAAAAAACTGAGCATTTGAGCCAATTGTGGCATATCTTTATATCAAAGCAGGCAATTTAACGTTAAGTACTAATACCACACAACAACCACAACAGAGCAGCCTCCTGGCAGCGCTGGATGAGCCAGACTTTAATGAGGATTTGGACCCACTACGAGATTAATATAAAAGAAGCTTCTACTGGTGAGAATGGGGGAGGTCAGTTATAAATTTAGTGGTCGAGATCAAGTAGTTGGAAGGAAAAGTTAGTTGAGCCTTTACTGAGCAAGTCCCCACACCAACTGCTTCCCGGTGATTTGTGGCAAAAAAATTATTACGTTTATATTAGAAATCAAACAAAACTCTGCTTCTTGAGTTAAATTCGGAGCAATTCATTCTAAACTTTTATTATGCGGTGCTGTGATGTGGATCCTTAAATGTTACAACAACCAGCATAATTACACTTTTTTTTTTTCTTAAATTTATAATGGGACTGTTCAGATCAATTTATATATATTTCAATTAATCTTTTAATGTCGTAAAGTAAACGACTGGATATATCCAGTGTAGCCATTAACTACCCTTATTAATAGATAAGAAAACTCGAACTTAAAAACTTATATTAGACCATTTTATTCTTTTACCTCCAAATCATCCTGTGATAGTTTATAATATCACAAATTTGCCGTCTTAACTACTATGCACGATTTGGATTTCGGATCCACATCCTACTGTATGCATGTTGCCTGAAGTAGGTGCAACTCCATTTAGTGTTATTGACATTTGTCTCTCTAGCATTCGACCACCCACCGCTAGCATTTATATTTACGTATTCAATTATTCAAGCCCTTATTGTATGTATCTTTTAGGGAGGAAATTTAACTGGCGAGATCTCCCAAGTTTGCATTTAAAAAAATAACCCTTAAAATATTTTACAATTTTTTTTAAGTTAGAAAACTGACGTGGCACACTTTGAATTCATTAAACATGAAAAATAGATTAAACTGAAAAGATTTAAACATATGTGAGTAATATTATAATTAACGAAAGTTTGTTTAAATTTTAAAAATTAAAAACGACCCCCACCCTTCAAAATCGCTTAATCAAGCCATATACCAAAAAAAGACCGACGAACACCTTTGATTTCTCTATGATTTTCGGCGATAAAAATGCCCTATTTCTGGCAAATATTCGATCCCAAAGCTTCCTTACACAAAATCATGGCTGATATTCACAAAGAGGAGGAAAATCCAACCCCACTCCAAATCCTAGACTTTGGTGGCGGCGGTGGCTGTTCAAAGGCTTCGAAGAAGACGATCCGATGGATCATCCGATGAATCAAGGTGGCCCAGAGGCAGAAGAGACAACAGTGACACAAGAACAGAGAGAAGAATCAGAAAATGGTTCTGAAGAGGAGGACGTCGGCGAAAATTCGGGTGAGTAGAAGGATGCCGGTGAAGAAAGGGTACGTTTTTTACTTGTGGTTTTGAATTTGATGAGAAATTTGATTGATTTGTGCAACTTTAGGGGATATGTAGTTGATTTTATTGTTATGGTGGTTGTGGTGTTTTGTCGAGTAATTGGCGGGCATCGAGGGAGTGGCTTTGTTTGGATTCCAGAGGATGGGGGAAGGCAAGGGAGGCCATAGGGAGGTTGTCGTTGGGAGGTTGGAGAGCTAGGGATGGCTTGCAGCCCTCTAGCCCCCCTATTCCGCCACCTCCTGCCATCCTCGGCCCTCCAACCTCATGAAACCTACCACAACAACCTCTACAGGGCTTGCATTGGCTTCCCCAGTCCTCTCGAGGCCAAAAACACTCACTCCCCAATGTTCTCGAAGCTCATATCCCCCAAATTGGTAGCTTATTGGTTGTTTTGGTTCCTTTTTTTTTTTTTTTTTTTTTTTTTTTTTTTTTTGGCTGATATTTTGTATCGATGTAGCCTTTGGCCAAACACTAGTAACTACATATGACACTTTAATGAAAAAGGTCAATAGTAGAGGTGCAACAAGGGGAAGCAAGTGGAAAAGATTGGCCACAAATAACTTCAACGGTGTCCTTGATGATTTTCAGTTTGATGACAAGATGATGCAGTATGTATGGGGGGAAAGGCCCAAACATGGCAACAGTTGGGCAAACGTTAAAAGAGTATACTGCATCATGAACATCAAGGATTTGCATTGGATAACCGTCGTCGCACTACTAGAGGAGGGCTTGCTGCAGATCCTTGACTGCAACCCAAGTATTTGTTGAGAGAGGCAGTTGGAGACGGAGTTGCAACCGCTATGTATATTGTTCCCGCAGCTGTTGCGCGACAACGGGATGTTTCAGCACTTAGGTGATGAACTACTGACAGGAAAGTGGCCACTCAAGCGCCTTCCCTTCCCGACAAATGACTCAAGGTAAATTTTGTATAAAACTTACATAATACAATTGTTCTATAAGCTGATTGTAATGCTAATGTCTTCCTCCTATTGTAGTGCTGATTGCGGGGCATATGCGCTAAAATTTATTGAGTTCGATATGACCAACACCCCGATGGACAACTTGAATGACAAAATAATGAGAAACTATCAGGAACGTTGTGTTGTTGAGTGCTTCCATGGGCATATGGATCCCTTTTGACTGACCAGAACCCAATCCAAGTCATTGTTGATGTTGTCTTATTCGGTTGTTTTGAATAATTGGATTGTCTTGAATTGGATCAGTCGGTGTTGTTAGGCATCAGGTTATTGATACTTGAGTTGTGGTGTTATGTATGCTTTGTGGCCAAGGCCAAGGCTGGATAATGTTAGAAGGGGTGCTGTAGAAGAAGACGAAGAGGCTATTGTTGCTGCTGCTACTAATGTTGATGCTGATGCTAAAGGTGTGCTGGATAATTTTGGAGGATGGGGAAGTGGCTGAAGAGAATGATGAAGAGGGGGGATAGAGGCTGCTAGCCCTGCTTTTGTTTTGGCTGTATATAGGACATTTATTTGTTGTATATAATGTTGTAATTTAATGTAATTAACACATTTCAGATTTGTACAAAAGTAATTCAGTATTTTTTTCCCTATTTTGAGTTTGAGTTTATTTAGTATTCTTGTTACATGGCATTGATGTGTTGATGCAATTAGGTTGTCAAATTCAAGAGAAAATATGGAATTAATATGTGTTGGTGATTTTAGTTTGTCAAAATTTAGGAGAAAAGCTAGAAAAAATATGTATTGCCCATGATCGCTTAAGCGATATATAAGCGACTGCATATATCGCTTAAGCGACCAAGGGTCTTTTATACAGGATCACTTAAGCGAGAAAATAAATCGCTTAAGTGATCGTGCATCTGGGAACATCTAGATTCTTCCATGGACATAATCGCTTAAGTGATTCATGATTGTTTAAGCGACCAAGGGTAAAAGTGAAGAATTGTTTAAGCGAGACAATAAATCGCTTAAGCGATCGTGCATTTGGGCAGATCTTGATTCTACATTGGACTTGATCGCTTAAGCGATCCCAAATTGCTTAAGCGACCAAGGGTAAAATTGAAGAACCGCTTAAGCGATCGTGCATCTGGGCAGATCTTGATTCTACCTTGGACTTGATCGCTTAAGCAATCCATGATCTCTTAAACGACCAAGGGTAAAAGTGAAGAATCACTTAAGTGAGACTATAAATCGTTTAAACGATCGTGCATCTGGGCAGATCTTGATTCTGCCTTGGACTTGATCGTTTAAGCGATCCCAAATCGCTTAAGTGACTAAGGGTAAAAGTGAATAATTGCTTAAGCGATCGTACATCTGGGCAGAACTTGATTCTGCCTTGGACTTGATCGCTTAAGTGATCCATGATCTCTTAAGCGACCAAGGGTAAAAGTGAAAAATCGCTTAAGCGAGACCACAAATCACTTAAGCGATCGTGCATCTGGGTAAATCTTGATTCTACCTTGGACTTGATCGCTTAAGTGACCATGGGTAAAAGCGAAGAATCATTTAAGCGAGACCGTAAATCGCTTAAGCGATCGTGCATCTAGAATGATCTTGATTTCGTCTTGCACGTGATCGCTTAAGCGACCAAGGATACAAGTGAAGTATCGCTTAAATGATCTTGATTCTGCCTTGAACATGATCGCTTAAGCGACCAAGAGTAAAAGTGAAACATCGCTTAAGTGATCTTGATATGGCTTGTACGTGATTGCTTAAGCAACTAAGGCTAAATATATAAGATCACTTAAGCGAGACATGAAATCTCTTAAGCTATCCAGTGTATTCGGATTATTTTTATTATGCCTTTCATAAGATCGTTTAAGCGATGAAAACTTATAAACACTGGATCGCTTAAGCGATTCCTTTTTTTTTTTTTTTTTTTTTTTTTTGGAGTAGGTTGTCAAACCCATACAAAGTGACGTTAATGTGAACTTTGGACGTTCACAACATCACATGATTATTAACGTTAATGTTAAGCGACATCGGTTATTAACACTTATTAAGGCCAATTAAGAAGGATTATTTGCAACCTAATTCCATCAACACATATTAAGGTTACAACTGTATGATATATGGATGAACGTCATAGCGCACTAGCGTGACACGTTAGTACAAACTTACCTCATTTCATAAATATGGATGATGTATTTGAGAATGATTAGATTGAAATAAGCTTCAATTTTGACTGTATGATTAGTTCAGTGGACCATGATCTG